AAGCTACGGTGTTGGACTTGTCCTGTAACAACCTCCTTTCCTTGCCGGTAAGGGGCTAGAGAGCCTCTGTGGGGTGGGCGCTGGGCAACATTGAGACGAGGGAGCTAGTGCTTCGGTAAGCGATCACGGGGAGGTGTGGACCTGGCGCTTTCCCCTTGCTGGGGCGGCTGGCTGGCCGCTGTCAGTGACGGGTCAGTCCTGGTGACAGCAAAGGTTGGTGCTGCGTGGAGGTTGCAGCATCTCCCTGCCAGAGGAGCCCCGCGTCAACGCAGACCGGTTTCATCAGCAGTGGTGACTGGGTGCTGTTTCGGTTGTATCGCCGCACGTCACCTTGTCTGTCAGTCTGTCTGGCCTGTGCCACTGTTTCCCACCTCCATCTTCGGAGGCAGAGGAGGAGAGTGAATTTTCCTCCGTCACAGTTCTGTAGTAATTTAAGGGTTTGTGGTTTACGGAAGGTGGAGGCGATCTCCACATACTCCCCGCTGAGGTTCCTTCGTAAAGGTCCTGACAGGCTTTTTCTGGGTTTTGTCTGTGTTTGGGTTTTAGTCGGACTTCTGCAGTTTGATGCATCTGGTGAAACTGGATTTGAGTAAAAACCGGCTTCAACAGCTGCCCTTGGACTTTGGGCGCCTGGTCAATCTGCAGCACCTGGAACTGCTGACCAACCGTTTAGGCCTTAGTCACCCTGCCAGTCAGCTTTGCACAGCTCAAGGTAAAACTGTTTGCTGGGCAGTTACGTAAAGCTTTGGGATTCGGCCCAGGGTCTTGTGATCCTTCTCAAGTTGATTTCTCTGGTAAAGCATCCGTCCTGCTGACTGCCCATTCCAAAACTCAGCTGGCTCTGCACCGCAGCTCACTGGAGATTCTCTCGCATCTATCGAAAGCGCCTCTGCCCAAGCTCTCCGCTTGTTTTCTGGACCTGTTTCATTCATGTGAAAACTAAATAATTCTTTGCTTCTGATTTGGTTCACTTCAATAATCACAAGACTACTGTGCTCTCAACTGCCTCCCCTTTATCGTTCCTTTCTGCAGAACCTGAAGTGGCTGGATCTGAAGGACAATCCCCTGGATCCTGTCCTAGCTAAAGTAGCAGGAGACTGTCTGGATGAGAAGCAGTGTAAACAGGCTGCTGTCAAGGTAAGGAACCTGCTTTTATTCTTTTTTTCCTTACTTGGCTTTGTTGGTGGTGGTTCTTCCTCTTTTTTGCTTAGCAAGCTGGGCAGCTGCTGCAGCAGTTTGAAGTTTCTTCAGCCAGCGAGGTGCAGGTTCTCTGCACTGGCTTCACCGCTTCTACGCCTGTAGAGAGCAAACACTGGGCTGAGTAGGACCCTCTGCCATTAGCGGGGTCGAGAGAGGACTAAGTGCTGGTTACCAAGAAAGTGGAGGCATAATCAGACAAAATAATCCATGTCTAGGCTTATAGTCCAGAGGACAAAAATCTCTGGAGAGCCTCTGGCAAACTATAGGCTCACATACACAGAAGAGTTCTGTGATCTCTGTATCGGCCAGCACCAGTCTGGCCCGTTTGGTTTTTAATGGAAAGATCTGTTGCTAAACCGCAAAGATTCCTGCGGGAAGGTGCGAGCTCTCTGCAGGGCTGTCCCTGTAGGGGTAAGTCAGGGTTGGTGGTCAGCTCCAGCTGGCTGTCCTCAGCTGCGCTCCGGCTGTTGGGTTCGGAACTGACTGTGCAACCAGTCTCCTGCAGAGACCTCAGGTTGTTTTCTTGGACCTCAAAGGTACTGCAGCACATGAAAGCGATCCAGTCTGAGCAGGATCGACAGCGGCAACGGAAGCTCCAAGCAGAGCGAGGTAAGCACAAAAATCCCTCACGTGCTGTCTGCTGAGGACTGGTCTTGATCCCTCTTACATGCCCGGACTTACTGATTGCCATCTAACAAACACTCGCAGCTATCAGAATCCTGAGGACGCTGGGAGTGGCAGGGTAGAAGGGCTGGAGGGAGAAAGACAGTTGGGGATAACTATGCGATTTCTTGCCTGAATAATAGTTAGGTCTTTAGGTGGAATGCGCTGTGCGTTACCTATACAAAAATGAAAGAAAAGCACAGAATTTATTTTAAGGGAAGCCTAATTCTGAGGGAGCAAAATGAAAAATATGTAATATTAAAAAAAAAAAAAAAAAAGGAATGAAAATTAAAAAAAAAAAAAAAAAAAGAGGATAGTTGATTTGTTTCCTCATTCCAACTGGGAACAGATAAGCAGGTAATAAAGCAAGCGGCAATGACAACTCTTTACATAAAAGGAAAAAAACCTTCCTGTTATCCCCAGAAATGGAGAAGAAGCGTGAAGCAGAACAGCGAGCAAAGGAGGCTCAAGAGAGGGAACTGAGGAAGCGAGAGAAGGCAGAAGAAAAGGAGCGCAGGAGACGGGAGTACGATGCTCAGAAAGCTGCAAAACAGGAGATGGAAAAGAAAACTAAAAAGGAAAATGTGCAGACCCGAAGTGAGTAGTATCCATTGTGGGCGGGATTGCTTCAGATTTCGTCTTCATCTCACTTTGATGCTGCCAGATTTGCTTTTATGCAGCCCAGGTACTGGGAGATGGTGGGAGTGGCGGGGGAAAACCCGCAGGACTTCTAACGAGCTCTGCTGCTGTGCGCTCTTCCCCGTCATCGGTGTTC